TAATTCAAAATTTGAATGGATAGCTTTTTAATTCTTAGGTTCAATGCCGTGCTTTCAAATGCGTCAATAATGTTTCTTTAGCATGTAGCCAGAATCTTGTTGCTATGACTGTTTTGAAGATGCCTTGTATGGATTTCAATTTCATCAATTTGCTCTATAAATTATGATGACTAGAATTATTTCTCATAATTGTTTCAATATCAAATCTTTGCCCATTGCATCAGCATCTGGCTTGAATTTTGTATTTGCACAAGGGGATATGCAAATATTCCTCAGGCTTTCCTATTTTTTTCAATATTTGACGTGACTTGGTCATGAAATAGGGCTATATAACTTGAGTGCATTAATAGTTGGTTAGAATGTGCAAGTTTGAACAACAAATCCTTGAAAATGATTCACCGAAAACTTGGACTGGATTTCATTTGTAACCGATATGCCTATATTGTATATTTTTTCTTGTGTAGTTGATGGTTACTGCATTTAGACATTGAAATATCTTTAGGGGATTTCTAACCTGCAATTTATTTATGTTAGAAGAGTAAAAATAAATGAACCTCAATTTTGCTTCGCTGCAACTTGAGGGTCACAAAGAACTTGAGCTTAATGCTCTGTGCTTCATCAAGCCTTTATTCAAGCTTACAGAATTCTGTGTATCTATCTACTTCCACATTTCTTAAATGAAGGGTATACTGTTTGTTTGCTTAACAGCACTTCTTCCAACAGATTTCTCTGAATGACTTATTTAGCTACTACTTAAGTGGAAGTCCGAGTCTTGTATAGTAACTAGCAAAAACCTCCTTCGACACACACTATGTTGAATCACCATAACAAAAAATTAATGTATTAGTGTGTTCATCACTTCACGTAACTTGATGATTTAAAAATTAAAAATAAAAAATAAAAAAAATTATGTCCGACCTTTTTCATTGAAGTCTATCCTGTAAAATTTTCATGAATGGGTAAGATTTTAAATAATTGTTGAAACCTAGAAAGCTGCTCGACAAGACTTGAAAACATCACAAGGTTGAATCATCTAACGGCTTGTTTATTTATTTCAACAGCTGCACTACACGTACAGGAAATGTTAACAGATTTTCAACGGGGGAGACTACAGTTTTTGGCAGTTGCCAATCACAAGGGGACAAGTGTCCCCCCGGTTGGATATTTGTTAGCATTTCTTGTACTTGCGCAACTTTTTTCTTATTTCAATGGGAATTTGGTCTTTGACCGACTTTGGGTAAGTCCACCTTTCCCATATCGATGAGTTTTGAACACAAACAATTCAAAGATCAATACCGCTAGAGTGCCCAAATTTATTTGACAAAGGGGATGATCGACTCTCGCAATAGCGGGGACCTCACTTTTTTTTTGGACTTTTTTATTCACACGGAACCAATAACATGTGAGAAGATGTCAACCATTCAAGTAAAAAAATTCGTACAAAGTAGCAAAATTCATTCAAGGATATACGCTCCATTCATTAGCTAGAAAAACTACATGGACGTGCTTTTCCAAATCACGTTTGAAAAATAATTATAAACGATTTAAATTATAGATAGATGAAAATTAATAGTTAATAAGCAAGTAGTATTGGTGGATTTAACCAAATTTGATAAACAGTGATCTGACCAATCATAAGCCGTTCATAAACATTCTATTTCGGTTGGGTCTTGATACGAGAGGGGGAGAGATTTCTCAAAAAAAATGATAATACTCTTAAAAAGAAATTAAATATCCTTAGCATTTTGAACAGACATGCTTACAAAATCTATTTCCCGGTAGAATTACAAGAAGAAAGAATGACCTAGTGGTTAATCTAGAGGCTTGAATTTCTCCCTATCCATCATTCAGCTATTTATTGGTTAAAAAAACCCGGACCGGCCTGTGAGAGAAGTTCCTCGCCAGCATCCTTCCCCATCAATATCATATCTTCAAAAGCATATGGACCTTTTCGAGAGGTTTCAAGTACTGAATGGTGGAACGCGAGAAATATACGTTAAAAACTGCAGTAAACTAAATTTTCATTTATCTTTCCTATCCTCGAATTACCGTTGACATACCTCGGGTTCCATCTGGGGATGCCACCAATGCTTTAAAAATACATCTTCCATCCTCGTCCCTATGAGCGTATCCTGCAATTGGAGTTCGACAAGAACCCTCCAATTTCTCTAGAAAAGCTCTCTCACATGAAACTGCTAATCTGGTGTCCTCGTGATTCAAGGACGCTAAGTAATTAGCCTGCAGAAGAAACATTTGAATTAGAGAAAATAACTGGACGACAAAGAGAGGCATGAATAACTTCTTTTCTACGATCTGCATGGGAAGATAAACAATAATTCATGAATGGTACACATGAATGGTACACACACACACAACCAAATATGTACATACGAAAATTAGATGTTATAAGAAAATGCAAAGGAAAAACAGCAGCGTCCAGTTAGAGGGTATGCTCGTAGCAGAATTCGACAAATGTTTTGGCACATCATTAACTTTGTGTAATATCAATTGTAATGTGCAATAAATAACCACTTTTTAGAACCAGATTAGATGGAATATAAACTTTAGCTTCACCCAAAATTTATGACCATGCTAACTTAGTACAAATCTTTACTAATTTCCTATAACTTCCATAAACATGCCCTTTAGCTACAGAAAATGTGAAGGTAATCTCAATTGAATCTATGCAGCTGAAGATACGAGAAGTACTGTGCAGGGAATATTGTTGCTCCGATATAACAGATGCCTTTGACGGGTTTATATATGTGAATGGTTTGAACAACCCAGAAAAAAAATCAAGTGTGGCAGTATCAATTTTTATTCTTTGGCTATGTAAATGCAAAAGATTAGGAAAATGGAACCAAAAAGAGATCAGGGTGAAGATACGGAGAAAAAATAAACAAACTAGTCGACGTGATTATGAAGAGTACCACATACCATCATTTCGTCATCACTTCTACAGGCAATTCCAATAGCTCCTTGAGCAACAGCTGGAAGCATATCATCAATAGACAGAACGGCAGTAACATTTTCTGTCATGTTGAGGCGTTTGAGTCCAGCTAATGCCAATAACGTTGCTTGGACAACTCCCTCATTTAATTTTCTTAATCTTGTTTGTACATTGCCTCGAAAGTTCTCAAGCACCTATAAATAAATTGAGTGAGAAAACAAAGCAGTGAAGCAGAATGAGACAGCATAAACAGTCACCCAAGATTTTTGAAGAGTAAATAATGCTTACTGAAAAGCCATATCAAACAAGCCAGCGAGGACAGGCCGAAATCATATTCAGCATTCACCTTGTATCGTGTAATTGCAACTTTAAAGGAAACTTCGAAATTAACCCGCCAACTCCATACGAACTTACCTATCAACAGGGAACTTTAACTCTCATGTAAAATTTTATCAACCCTTTATATCTAACAAGGTGCCTACTCATGTCCTCGAGAGATGTTGTGTTAAAAGAGAATTTCACAAGTAGCTTGATTCATTCGTATTGGAGATACGTTACAAATATAACTTGATACGGGTGTCAGAGAATGTGACATTCACAAAAACATAGGAGGTGTAAGTGTTGCAGACATAAACGTAGATATAATCAACTGAGAGGTCATAACAGCACTGGGAGAACTGCAAGAGATGAAAGAAGAAATTTGTAGAAAAAGGAAAAGGAAATAGGAAATTCTTAAAGTATAACAAAGTAGTTTAGGCAAAATTCCACAATTCAAAATTTATGTAAATAACAATTCTTCTTAAAATTGTCTTCGGTGAGTCCCTCTCCATGGCAAACAGATTAGAAGCATCCCTGGTGTCTTTGTGATATGCCCACTGATTGACCGAACTATAAAACCTATGTTTGAGCTCCATTTTTCCCAAAACTCAACTTTTTCTGAAACTCATTTTCTGCCACAGATTCTCCCATAAAATAATTTCACACAAACTCAAAACTTTTCCCTATTTTTCTCCAAAAAAATCACTATCCCAAAATCTATTTTCTCCAAATTTGGGGCTCAAACAGGGCCAAAATATTAATGCCTGATTTGGGTTTGACACTGATGCATTTAGTCATTTACTGAGGACAATTATGGATTTTCTTAAGGCATGATGAATAAATCAATTTACTATATAACGAGAAAGCAAGATGATTTTTTATAGCATAACATGCTTACATTAAGTGATGGATATCTGTGGAGTATTTGGGACTTCCTTCTAAGTGAAGCAGTGCCCACAGTGCTTCCTGCAGGAAGCTCGGCCAATGAAGCTGCAGTCAAACAAATAAATGCATCCCGGACATCCTCACGTGGAAGATTGCAAGGTAATATTGTCTTGTCAGGAAGATATGTGGGAACGTCTTTCATTGAGTGGACAGCTATATCAATTTCACTATTAATGAGTGCCTCGTCTATTTCTTTCGTGAACAGGCCCTTTCCACCTATATCTGCCAGTGGCTGACTCAATATTTTATCACCAGTGGTTTTAATGATTACAATTTGAATGGCACCTTCTTCAGCTAACTCAGGATGTGTCTCTATCAGTTTATTCTGCGTTTCATAAGCTTGGGCAAGTGCCAGTGGGCTGTAATACAGAAACAATGGTTAAAATAAATTAATCAGTCTATTTAAGAATCAAATCCTATATCAATAGTTAATTTGTACAGCTTATGGAACATAAAGAGTAAATGAACCATATCTTCCAATGATCATTTCGGGATATTGTGTTTCATATGTTACAGTTGAAAGGTTAGAAAGCTTCTTGTTCAACATTGTGAAAATGTGATTAGCTCAAAGGAAAAAAGTGAAGAAAGCAATACAAAGGGAGGGGAGAAATTTTGTTAGTTTGTCCAAAATTTTATAGGCGTTAATTTTAGATGCTGGTGTCTTTGGCACATTTTCTTTTACCACAGAAACTTCTAAAGATTCCTAATCAATGCACAACATAACATAAATAGGCATAATGTCGAGTATCCTTATTCTGTGTCACCCTAGGTAGCAGAGAGAACATCCGGTGTTATTATATTTCATAATATCCAACATGTACTAATATATTTCAGATTAAGTTGTACAATATGGAGGATACACAAATCACCACAATCTGCTTTAGGTCTTTGCATTCATTCTGAACTATTATCAGAAGGTGAACGACTTGTCCATTTCATTATAATTTGAGTGCTGGTATGACTGCATGGGAAGGGGAATTTTTATGCCACAGGTATAATGTACCAATTTCTCTCCTGTCAAGGCTTAGTACCTGGCAAACGAATTAAGTCTGGGTTATGCCCGTCTCTTTAATTTAATGATGCACCACAGAATGTCACTAGTATTAAACTATCCTTAAAAAGGAGGGCTGAGGGGAATATACATAGTGGACCACATTGTTTAAGTAGGCAGTTCTTTCTGCAGCTCTCCATGAAATTTGAATTCCAAATCCTTAAAGGTGACTGCCGAAATTGGAGTGGCACTATTTATTTTATAACAATCTCCGACCAAAACTAAAAGATTTAATCGGTATCAAAGATAAATACTCCGCATATGACATGGAATATGACTTCTAATTCTTTTCTTTAATTCTTTGGGGGAATATATGGCCTATAATGAGAACATAATCAGGGCATCCTTCTTACATCACTTTTATGACATAGCAAATCCTTAATGAAGAATTTCTAAGGTTCCATAAAGCAGATGTGCAAATTTCAAATTTTCCATGCAGCTTTCGGTGGTACTCTCACCATAAAAACTGATCTAGACATCTTCAGAATTGCAAATAGCCCCAGGATTTTTAATTATATCAATGCCTTCCATATCATTTTTCCAAACAAAAGTCCTTCTTATTCATTATTAGCTTGATTGACAGATGAATTCGTAAGATGAGGGGAGGACATTTTCACTCTCAATAAATTCCCAAAAAGCCATGTTGCAGTCATGACGAGACCCCACAAAGAAAAACAGTATATTTTCCAAGTCATATATTAGTTAAATAAAATGCTAAAAGATGCCTTATTTAGCCTCTCGGGGAATGCCTGGTGTCCGGTCCATTTTTTAGACAATTACAGGAACAAATACTCATACATGAGAAGTACATCAGTAGTGAGTTGAAAACCGTTGTGATGCACATCTCTTTCCACAGTTACTTCCCAAATTCACTAAATTTCTCATTTTCTCATCGAGTGCAGAGAAAACATTTAGTTCTCTTTACCTCAGTACTCTCAATTGAAACCAGGATTCAATTTTAGTAAAAATATTAAAATAGTCACAAGAATTCAAGCTCGAGAATGTTCACCAATCCATCTTAATTTAAGCTCAAGAATCCATTTTAACTGCAATATACCCCTACCCATAATAACACGAGCTTAATGTAGAATCTTTATAATAGAAATTTAAAAAAAAATAAAAAAAAAATCAAACAGTCAACCTTGCATTTTACGAACATTAATCAACCCATAACCGGAAAGTCAAATTACAAACATTACCTTCCGCGAGTGCCAATTCTAATCACAGCAGCCTTAGTTTGAGTCTGCTGTTCAACAGCAACAGAATCCCTAATGACCAGATTTCTTTTCCGTTGGCTATAGAGTGGAGATTTAAGGCATGGCAAAGAGAGCCCAAGAGCTGAAACTGAGCGACCAGCAAAAGCTCTTGTGTTTACATTGAAAGGGCCTTGATTTACAGTAGCTATGATCTCCATATTAATTGAATGGAGAGAAGATAGAAAGTAGAACAGAGAATTGTGCCAGGGGTTTTGAATTTTTGTTTCAAAGATTTGAGCTTTCGACTTATCCACCAGGTCATCGGACTCGTCAGCAATTTAGCCCTGTTTGGTCACATTATGTCTCATCAAATTAAATTAAAATTTTCCCTCTTATTTTCAATCATATAATTTTTAATAAAATAATATTATATATAAATCGAAAACGTTTCATTCTTTTACGACTGATACTACCAAAAATCGTACCTGAGCAATTCCGAGCTAGACGACTGGTGGCGAGCACGAACGTGTTCTTCCGATACCTGAAACAAAGGCGTCGATGTGTGTCCTCGTTGCCCCTCCGATACTTAAGTTAGAATATGTCCGTGAGGCTATGGACTGAAAATTGTATAAAAAGAGTACCTGAATGATGAGGTGAAACCATGTATTTATAGTGTTAGGTGGTTGAATCCTATTAGGTTTGAACAATTGGAGAATCTTCATCCCGTAGAATCCTATCGAAGGTGGATGTTTGACATGCATAATAAGTGTGGGATCAGTACAAGTCTAACAACAATAAACTCCTCTTACATCTGGAAGTCTTGTGGGGTATCAAGTGTTACACGTCACTGTTCGTACGAGGACGTGGTATCATTGAGGTAGAAAAGCATGAGGACATGAATACCGAGGACTCCACTTCCCCACCTCATGGTATGATTAGGAGAGAGGTCAAGGATATTTTCCATGTCCTCGAGAATACCCGACGAATATATTTTTGACCACTGGGTTCGGGGAGTCATCGAGAATAAGAGGTCGAGGTAAATGGATGGACCATATCAGGTAAATAGATGGACCATATCACTGGCCCCGTGCATCCATGCTCGAGGTTCGAGTGTGGGATGCACAGGTGAAAATCGCCCACGTACAAAGAAACCCGAGGTCCAGTTCAGAGATGACATCAGCCCTAAAGTGAAAGGCGGTTTAACTTTGGTTGCCCCGATGAGTGACACGTGTCCAGATCCAATGGTCCAAGCCGGACGACCCTTGGGTTTCCCACTGGAGTTTATAAATACCCCAGTCATTTTTCATTTCTTACCATTTTACTTCTCTGTGAATTTTTTCAGAATCCTCGAGCTTGGGCATTTTGTCGGTTTTGGGCCGTCGATATTAAGGTAAGAGATCGAGAACTTTAAGCTTTATTATTTAAGAACACTTCTGGTAGGATGTCTAATGAGTTTACCTCGTCGTCATCCTCTGGGTCGAGGACAACCCCAGAGAGTTTAGGTAGGTCGATAATCCCTGTAGCTATCCCTATTTATGCACAACCTCGAGCAGAAGATAACTCGACGCTTTTAACATATCCTGACCAACCCTGTACCCTTAAGGAGCACCTGGCCATATCGACGGCTAGAGAACATGGCATAATGCCTAGCTGTGACATTCGAGTGCCCGGGGTAGGGGATAGGATGGCTATAGCTCGGGATGGGGAGTTTGTGATTTTTAGGGATCTTTGAAAGGGGGATTTAGGTGGCCCCTGCATCCGTTTTTATGTCTTTATTGGTCGAGCATAACATGAGCCCGGGGCAATTAGTGCCAAATGGGTGGAGGATGCTCGTCTATTTCTTCATCGCCTGTAGATACCTGGGCATTACACCATATCTCGACCTATGTAGAATGGTCTTCGACCTTAAACAGTTGCCCCAGTATACATGCTTTGCCTACCTTTCTACCCGGGGAGGTTTTAGAATCCCGAAGATGCCCAGCTCCTTAAAAGGGTGGAAGGAGAAATGGTTCTACGTGATTCCTCAGGATATCGACCTTCCATTCAAGTCTCGATGGGGATTTCCAGATACGTCGAGGTTTTGTGAGGGTCAGGCATGCTTTGAGAGTCTAGAGAGGGACAGGCAGATGTTAGAAAATCTCGAGCCTATAGGGATGGCAATCGGGCTTGCCGGCTCGGGTCGCCCATGGCTCGGCTCGGGAAAAGCCCCAGCCGGATCGGCTCTGGGCTCGGTAGACCCGAGCCTAAACTCGGGCCGAGCCCCATTTTGGGGACACGGGCTTTTCCCAAGCCGGCCCGTGAGCTCGCGAGCTTTTTAATTAAAAAAAATTTAAATTTAAGGCAGTGAACTGCTGCCTTTAAAAGGCAGCAGGAGGAAAGAAAAAAATATTTAAAAAAAAGGGAGAAAAGGAGCCTGCCCGGCTCGGCCCGTAAAAAGCCCGAGCTTCCTTTCTTTTTGGCCGAGCTTTTGCTCGGCTCGGCTCTAGCCCGCAAAAAAGCTCGGGCATTTTAACCGGGCCGAGCCCGAGCCGCAACTTTAGGCTCGCGAGTCAGCTCGACCCGGCTCGTTTACATCCCTACGAGCCTCTGGTGTTTGATATGGACGACATCCTCGGGGATGATGTTCTCGATCGTGCAGACATTAAAGGCGTCGAGGGTAGGACATGTACCTTTTTTCTTAATTTTTTGCTTATTTATATGCTCGTTTCTAATACATCGTCGATATTTTGGAGCAATGACTTTCGATCCAACTGCTTTGCGACAGGCCATGCAGTCTAAGTCGAGGGGTCCTCAAATTCGAACTTCGAGACATAAAAGGGGGAAAAGAGGCCTCGAGCGTCTGGGCCAGAGCAACAAAAAAGAAGCGGGGCAGGAGAGTCCTCAAGGCGTAGAAGCACGTCGCCTGGAGGCAACACTTCTCGATCTATTCCATCTCGATCTCTTCCGCCTCCTCGGGAGCACACGGTAGTGGATCTCGACGAGGATAACGTGCCCCCGAGTACTGAAAACGTCGAGAATACAGGACAATCATACTTGATGTCGGGCCTTGTAGACAAATACCGACAAAGGCTCAGGTATGAAGAGGCCGGCAAGGACCTCGAGTCACTTATATTCCAGGTGAACTATGATTATAAAATTTTATAGTCTTTTTATATCGAGGTCATAGCTCATGGTAAATGTGTTTGTAGGCTTTGAGTATAGCTCGAGGTGGCTTGCTTAGGGGAATGGATGATTCCCGGAAGGTGATCGAGCTCCAGGAGGCAGTGGAAGCTCGAGATAAGAGAGTAACTGACCTCGAGGCTGAGCGAGATCTTGCGAAGACCGAGCTTCGAAAGGCTCGTGATGAAATAGGCCTCGTGAAAGACGAGGTAGAAGAATTGAAGATAGAGCTCGAGAAGGTAAAGAAAACCCTCGAGGTCAGGGTGGCTGAAGCTCAGGCTGAAGCTGTTGAGGAATTCCAGAAGTCCGAGGATTTCAACAAGCTAAAGGGCGACTATGCAATGGGCTCATATTTCCATGGCCTTAAGAAGGCTTGAGCATTTCTTCGGTCGAAGCCTGATGCTAAGCCCGAGGAGCTGAAGGCAATCCCGGAGATTGCTAGAGACCTCGAGCTTTCGGAGTCAGAAGAGGGTACCCTTGACGATGAAGGGGTCGACCTTGATGATGACCTCGAGGATGATCAGGAGAGCCCCCGGGTCTAGATGTAGTTTGTCTTTACTCGAGCAACATTTGTAAAACGTTTTTTGTCGCCAGCTAAATTCAGCAGTTTTTTTGTTTGTAATCACTTTTTATCGAGCACTATTAATACAATCTGCATGTTCGACATTATTTGGCCCGAGCTTTTACTTGAGCTGATCTTTACTGCTTCTCGATTATTTATGCTCGATGATCTTATAACGACGATTTTATATTATTTATGATCGACGATTCAAATATTAGATGTTTACACCTTTTATTATCGACGATCATGATTTACAAACACCTTATACCGACGACTATGCCTTTCGAATATTAATATCGATGGCATGCAATTAATCTTGGTAACGACAATAAATTTTGAGGAAACTCAATGTAATCCTCGTGTTTTTCCAATTTTTACTATATCGAGGATCATTCACCTTGCCTAAAGGCAATGCTTTTACTTGTCAAGGGCAAGGTTTATATTGCTTGTCGAGGACAAGGCTTAGAGTGCTTGCTCGAGGACAAGGCTTCGAATGCTTGTCGAGGACAAGGCTTGGAGTGCTTGCTTGAGGGCAAGGCTTATATTGCTTGTCGAGGACAAGGCTTGGAGTGCTTGTTCGAGGGCAAGGCTTATATTGCTTGTCGAGGACAAGGCTTGGAGTGCTTGTTCGAGGGCAAGGCTTATAATGCTTGTCGAGGACAAGGCTTGGAGTGCTTGCTCGAGGGCAAGGCTTATATTGCTTGTCGAGGACAAGGCTTGGAGTGCTTGCTCGAGGGCAAGGCTTATAATGCTTGTCGAGGACAAGGCTTAGAGTGCTTGCTCGAGGACAAAGCTTGGAGTGCTTGCTCGAGGGCAAGGCTTATATTGCTTGTCGAGGAGAAGGTTTAGGTAATTCCTGGATGCAAAGTAAACGACAGGGTTATTATACCCGAGGCTTGAATTTTTTAATTCTTCGGGCTGGACTTGGATTTATATTGTATCCAAACTGCATACGTACCCAAGCGAGATCAAGCCGAACGTAGTTCATTACAAAAGAGAATTGAAAACATGCATGGGCACGCAGGCCCGCCAAACAAGAAATAAAATGCAAGGGCACGCAGGCCCGAAAAACTAAAAATAATATTCAGAAAAACTAAAAAAGAAAATCTCCTATATGACGTCGGGAATGTTACTTGTAATATATTTTCAGATTATCGGCATTCCAAGACCTTGGAAGAGGTCTACCCGAGGTATCCTTTAGGCTGTAAGACCCTCTTCTGATTTGCCGTATGACTTCGAATGGTCCTTCCCAAATTGGTCCGAGCTTTTCGAGAGCATGACCAGCAACTTCGGCCTTCCTCAGCACGAGGTCTCCAGCCCTGAACTTTCGAGATCTGACCCGGTTATTAAAATGCCTTGCCACTCTATTTTGGTAAGAGGCTACTCTTAGTGCCGCTTGTTCGTGAACCTCCTCAAGGAGGTCCAAATGTTCTGTCGTACGTTCCAGAGAGTCGGGCATCATTCTCCTTAGGCTGGGAAAACTGATTTCAACTGGGATGGTGGCATCAATGCCAAATGCTAGCATGAAGGGGGTTTCACCCGTCGTAGTTTTATGCGAAGTTCTGTACGTCCAGAGTAATGAGGGGAGCTCGTCGGACCAAGAGCCTTTGGCATCCCCGAGTCTTGTCCGGAGGTCTTGCAATATAATTCGATTTGTGACCTCGGCTAGACCATTGCTCTGAGGGTGCGAGACTGATGTGAGTCAATGGTCAATCCCTAGGTTGGTGCAAAAACTTCTGAATTGTGCATTATCATATTGTCGTCCATTATCAGTTATGAGGACCTTTGGTATCCCGAACCTACAAACAATAGATTTCCATACAAAAGCTCTAAGTTTAGGCTCCGAAATTGTTGCCAAAGGTTCTGCTTCTGCCCATTTCGTGAAGTATTCTACTGCCACTGCCACGAATTTTAATTGTCCTCTTGCCACCGGAAAAGGCCCGAGGATATCAATTCCCCACTGTTCAAAAGGGGCCGAACATGTTAGGGCTGTGAGGTCCTCAGCTGGAGAATGGATGACGTTGGCAAACCTCTGGCATTTGTCGCATTTTCTGACATATTTCGATGCATCTTTCTTCATGGTGGGCCAGTAGTACCCATACCTTATAAGCTTGAAGGCCAAAGCCCGAGCTCCTTGGTGATTCCCACATACACCTCCATGAACTTCAGCTAGAGCTCGGGATGATTCTGAGGGTTTAAGGCATCTAAGATATGGAAGTGTGAAACTTCTTCGGAATAGTACTCCTCCAATCATGCAGTACCTAGATGCTCGAGATCTTATACTCCTCAACAATCAGGGGTCCTCAGGTAGATTTCCATTATTTATGAACTCTGCAATTGGGTCCATCCATGATGGCTCATGATCAATGTCCATGACTCCAACTCCCTGAGTGATACTAGGCTCCATTACCAATTTCACGTAGACTGTCCTCTCTAGCCCATCGATTCCCATGAATACCAGTCTAGATAATGCATCAGCTTTACCGTTATCAGCCCGCGGAATTTTTATGATTTCGCAACTCTTGAATTGTCGTTGGAGATCATGGACTTTTAGACAATACAAACTCATCTTCTCCTCCTTCCTTTCGAACGTACCTTCTATCTGGCCGACCACAAGCTGTGAATCACTGAAAATTTTAATATGCTCGAGCTCAAGATTTCGGGCGAGCTCAAGGGCGATAATGACAGCCTCATATTCGGCCTCGTTGTTGGTAGCTTCAAACTCAAACCTGAGTGCGCATTGAATATCCACGATTTTGTCAGGGCTCGTGATGATAACCCTGGCTCCGGAACCTGACGAATTGGATGCTCCATCAACAAAGATGTTCCAAGTATCTGAAATATGATTGTCCGAGTTATCCCCTGGCCCCCGAGGCCTTGGGATGAGTTATGCAATAAAGTCAGCCAAAGCCTGCGCCTTGATAGATGGTCGAGATTTATACTCGATGTCAAATTCTCCCAGTTCAATTGCCCACTTTAGTAACCTACCAGAAACGTTGGGTTTTTGTAATATATGCTTAAGGGGTTGATTAGTGAGCACAACTATGGGGTGAGACTGAAAATATTGTCTGAGCTTCCGTGCTGCCACAACCAATGGAAGAGCAAGCTGTTCTGCCAAAGTATATCTTGTCTCTGCATCGAGCAAGACCTTACTGACGTAGTATATAGGTTGCTGGGCTTTGTTAACTTCTTTCACTAGCACACCGCTTACTGCATTCTGGGATACGGCCAAGTATAAATATAGAGTATCACCATGCTCGGGTTTAGTGAGGATAGGGGGAGATGCCAGTGTTTCCTTAAGTTCGTGAAAAGCTCTTTCACATTCCTCATCCCATTCAAAATTTCGATTTCCCCTGAGGACTTTGAAGAAGGGGAAGCATTTGTCGGCTGCTCGGGACATAAACCTGTTGAGGGCTGCAACACGGCCTGTTAATTTCTGGACCTCCTTCTTGGTTTTAGGTGGCTCCATTGATGCCAACGCCCGTATTTTGTCTGGGTTGGCTTTGATTCCCCTGTGAGTGATCATAAAACCCAAGAACTTTCCCGAGGCAACGCCAAATGCGCATTTTTCCGGATTCAGCTTCATTCTGTACTTACGCAGCGTGGCGAACACGTCCTCGAGATCACTTACATGGTTGCCCACTTGCTTGCTGTTTACAACCATGTCATCGATGTAGCCCTCAATATTTCTCCCGATCATTCCTGCAAAAACTTTATTGACAAGTCTTTGATATGTTGCTCCTGCATTCTTCAAACCAAACGGCATGACCTTATAGCAGTATATGGCAGAATCGGCCATAAATGACGTCTTCTCTTGATCTTCCTCAGCCATAAGAATTTGATGGTAACCCGAGAATGCATCCAAAAAGCTGTATAATTTGTGTCCCGATGTACTATCCACCAAATCGTCGATTTGAGGTAGGGGGTAGCTATCTTTTGGGCATGCTTTATTGAGGTCTGTAAAATCAATGCAGACCCTCCATTTACCACAAGCCTTTTTTACCAGGACAACATTGGCGAGCCAGTCAGGATAATTGACCTCGCGGATGAACTGAGCCCTGATCAGTTTATTAATTTCTTCCTTTATGACCTGTCGTCGTTCCGGTGCAAACTGCCTCTTTCTTTGCTTAACTGGATGAGTTCCGAGATTAGTGTTGAGCCTGTGTACTACAACCTCGGGGTCGATGCCAGGCATATCTTCCACCTTCCATGCGAAGACATCAATGTTGCGGGATAAGCAGTCAATAAGTTCGGTCATGAGGGCCGTATTCAGATCTCGACCAACCATGACTTTCTTCCCTTGCTCGAGCTCTATCTCCAACAACTCCTCCACTGGAGCGAGTCTCCCGCTATTCTCAAGCTCTTCCTCCTTTTCTGAGATTTGCATGACGTCTGTCTTTATTTCCCGAACACAAGTAACATAGCATTGTCTGGCAGCAGCTTGGTTTTCGCGTACCACCCCGACGCCATGACTGGTGGGGAACTTCATGACGAGGTGGAAGGTGGACACAATAGCTTTTACCTTATTGAGCAATGGTCTACCCAGGATGGCGTTGTATGCCATGGAAGACCGGACAATCTGAAAAGATGTAATCACCGTTATCTGTTCTTTTCCCGAGCCTAAGGTAAGTGGAAGCTCGACCACTTCCTCCGGAACAATAATACCCCCCCCCGAATCCTTGAAGGGGGGTTTTCACTGTCTTCAGTTGTTCGGGAGAGATTCCCATTTTTGTGAAGGCTTCATGTGACAATATGTTAGCGGCACTCCCGTTGTCGATTAAGATCCTCTTTACCTCAAAGTTTGCTACTATTGCAGAGATGACTAGGGCATCATCATGAGGAAAAGACACGCCCTCAAGATCCTTCATACCAAATGTTATGTCCTCGAGGTCACCATGATGTGCTTTCGGGATTGTCATGTATTGCCGGGCATACTGCTTCCTCCCAGTGTTCGAATCTCCTCCTGATGCAATACCCCCGACAATGATGTTGATGATTTCAGCAGTGGGTTGACCATCCCTTTTTGCTTCAAAGGCTCTTTCCCTACCACCATCATTCTTCGGCCGTTTGTCATTACCAACGTAGGAACCCAAAAGTCCCCTTTTAATAAGGGCTTCAATCTCCCGTTGTAGGGCTTTACAGTTTTCAGTGGTATGCCTGTGATCCCGATGAAACTCACAGTATTTGCTCATGTCCCTGGACTGGGGGGTGACCTCATTCTCGTAGGCCATTTGAGCTCCTTCATAACCTTGATTTCCATCAAAACGTTTGTTTTCGATGTGTTTAAATGTGTGAATGACGTCGGGGGAGCCTCCCGTCTGTTTACTCTGAGGTGGTTCTTGATGGGGGCTCGGGTCATGCTGTCTTTTATGCTCGACCCTGTCGTGGGATGGTCCAACCTTCCTCGGGTTCAGTGTTTCCTCCATATTTATGTACTTCTCTCCTCGGGTAAGAAGCTCGATCACTGTCCTCGGCGGAGTTTTGGATAGCGACATTTTGAAAGCCTCACACCTTATGGCATATGTGAGGGCAGAAACCGTTGCCGTTATATGAAGGTCAGGAATTTGTAGCCTTTCCTTGTTGAACCTGATCATGAACTTGCGTAGGGTCTCATTTTGCCCCTATCGAAGTTGCATAAGGGAGGTTGCCGTTTTCCTGATGCATTTACTGCTTGCGAAGAAGGCGGAGAACTTGTCCGCTAAATCCGACAATGAGGCTATTGAGTTGGGCTCTAAAGTCGAGAACCAATCCCTAGCAGCATTCGTCAAAGTTTGCGGGAAGGCCTTGCACATCACCTGATCCGGTGCAACCTGTAGATTCATGACGTCCGTGTATACGTTAAGATGATTGATTGGATCGGTGGTCCCGTCATATTCTTTGATCCTAGGATACTTAAATCTGTCTGGCAAGGGGAATGTCAATATTTCGGGAGTAAATGGAATGTTGGGACTGAATCTTGCTGACCCTTTGTTGCCCTGAAGTAGGCCCACCGTAATCCCTTCTTGAATAATCCTAGCGAGTTTCCCGGACTCCATGGTCACTGATCTCGAGGCCGAGGTCACATGTGGTATGCCCGAGGCCCCTACTCCGCCATTATCAGGGACATGTTTCTGAGCTCGAGCTCGAGCATCGGCCATGAAACCCCCCTGGGGTGCTGGTGTGGGTGACGGATGCAAATTTCTTTGACTTAGCAGCTGAGTCAGTATGGCGACCTGTTGTCTGAGCTCTTCAAAGGCTCCAGTAGTGACGACTGCCTGCTGAGGCTCTGGCACTTCTGATGATTCCTCTTGAGGAACAGGGATATCCTCAGGAAGGGGTTGATTTGGAGCGGATGAGCTTACTGGTGGAAGACCTGAACGTGTGTTTACCATGGCTTTTGGTAGCGTTTCCCACAGACGGTGCCCATGATGCTACCAAAAATCGTACCTGAGCAATTCCGAGCTAGACGACTGGTGGCGAGCACGAACGTGTTCTTCCAGTACCTAAAACAAAGGCGTCGAGGTGTGTCCTCGTTGCCCCTCCGGTGCTTAAGTTAGAATATGTGCGTGAGGCTATGGACTGAAAATTGTATAAAAAGAGTACCTGAATGATGAGGTGAAACCATGTATTTATAGTGTTAGGTGGTTGAATCCTATTAGGTTTGAACAATTGGGGAATCTTCATCCCGTAGAATCCTATCGGAGGTGGATGTTTGACATGCATAACAAGTGTGGGATCAGTACAAGTCTAACAACAATAAACTCCTCTTACATCTAGAAGTCTTGTGGGGTATCAAGTGTTACACGTCACTGTTCGTACGAGGACGTGGTATCGTTGAGGTAGAAAAGCATAAGGACATGAATACCGAGGACTCCACTTCCCGGCCTCATGGTATGATTAGGAGAGAGGTCGAGGATATTTTCCATGTCCTCGGGAATACCCGACTAATATATTTTTGACCACTGGGTTCGGGGAGTCATCGGGAATAAGGGGTCGAGGTAAATGGATGGACCATATCATGTAAATAGATGGACCATATCAACGACCATCTATTTTTCAAAAAATAAATAAATTATTCCCCCATTATAATCAAAATTAGGGTTGAACTACTTGTACAGTCCAACTCGAACTGTACATTTACAGCCCCTTCAGATGAAGGAGCCCCACACCAAGACTAGGGCCCCCTCATGTAAGGGGACTGTGACCCGTGCTGCACCTAAGAGTGTACAACAAGCACTACCCTCAAAATTAAAGGGGGCCAACCTACTCTCCCTCTACTGACCAATAATGGGTTACTACGTCATTTTCTCACCATATACCTCCATCGAATTCTTCCTTGAGCCAATTCAAGCGGCAATTGGAACGGGTTGTATTTTTAAAGTTATACAATCGGGGTTGAAAGCCCCGACCTCATAGGAGGGAGGCCCACCATTTTTTTATTCATTATGGGCCTCCTTCTCATGTATGTGGTTGTCAATCGAAATTGTTAAATCCGATTGTACATATAGTACTTTCCGGATTGTAAAAGGAAATAGGAAATGCAAAATTGCAAATTAATATTTATGAATATGCATGAAATAGCTATGAAACAAAACCTTCATGCCCTCCGACAGCATAAGGTGTGTCAGCTATTCCAATAAATAAATATTACCTACAAAATGAGATTGGGGCTTTCTTCTTCGTTGTACTTCCGGCATGAGAATTAGTATGAGATATAAGAATGTGGACTTAAGAAGAAAATATATTACGTGTATTTAAATAGCTAAAAAATTTTACTTTTGTACCTATTTCGATTTATGAGTATTTATTGGTGATTGGAGCCATATAACTATTAGGTGGTTATAGTCCCACGTGTCCTACATAGCCCCTTCCACTACCCCACGTTCTGAGTGGAGGACCTCTACCTACATAGCGGTTGGTGTCCATGATAACCGTTAAATGATCTTCATCCAATTCGATGATGATTTACGGTTAAGTTTTGTGTTGGCCTCATAGTGATTGACGACTTAGCATGAACGTAGAAGACCTCATAGTGATCGATGGCCTAACATGAATGTAAAAGGCCTCATAGTGGTCGACAACTTAGCATGAAAGTAGAAGACCTAATAGTGATCGATGGCCTAACATGAATATAAAAGGCCTCATAGTGGTCGATGACTTAGCATAGGATGCTTTACGTTGAATGCTTATTGAATATCCTTCGCTTTGTTGGTCAACGTAAACAATTATTAGTGCCATTTAATATTAATTCAAATACTAGATTTTATTTCAAAATTTCATATTGTACACAAAATTATTTCCATTTATAACAAATTATAATTGATATTTTTTTACGGGAAATTACACATACAAACGAGCGCTTAAGTTCTCCATTCTAATCGTCCATATTTTTAGCATTCATGTTGTCAACCTTTATTTTCTTTAACACGTCTTTGGAGGTAAATTTGTGAGAAAAATTGAGGCACACTAAACAAGTACTTAAATTGAAAAAATGATCTAAACTTTTGGGATCTGATTGATAGAATTTATTTGAGAATAATGAGTTATTGAATAATAATTTTTGAAGGATCTATTGTTGAAAAAAAAGGAAATTTTATTGATTTATGTGTAGAATATTTTATTGTGTAAATGTGTGATAGAGAATGATCATGTAGTAAATAATTTAAATTTTTAAAAGATGGCAAACATGGACTTAATAAAGTTCTGAAAATGATAGAAAAGATGACATAACAACTCAATACACTTTTTAAATAGACTAGTCGCTATTACGTACGTTGCACGAATTTTATATTTATCGTATTTTTATTAGTGTATGAATTTTAATTTTTTTGAAAAGTTTTTTAAACAATATCTAAAAATATTTCCATGATATAAGAAAATAATTGTAAATCATTTTTACAATTGCATAGCAGTATGTTCTCTAGAAAAAATATGCTTGTATATTTCATGCTTGAATAAGAAATATACAAACTATTTTGCTTGTATTCTTTAATAGTGTCGATATGATTGAATTGAATGTGAAGATTATATTTCTAAATTTTGTGTAATTCAATATTGTAAAATTGAAAAAAAAACTCTCCGTACAGTGCGGAGAGAGTTGAACCAAGTGCCGAGTAAAAATAAAGAAAGGTGCGGAGAGAAAAAAACTTCTTCTTCTCCGCACAGTGCAGAGAGAGTTGAATCATGTGAGGAGAGTTGGCAAACTCTTCGCACAGTGCGGAGTAAAAAAAAACCTCTTTGCACAATGCGGAGAGATGACAAACCAACTCTCCGCACAGTACGGAAAGTAAAAAAACTCTCCGCACTGTGCGGAGAGAGTTAATCTCTTCGCACAGTGCGGAGAGTTGGTCCGCATCATGACAAAACTCTCCACACAATGCATAGAGGTTGAACCATGTGCGGAGTAAAAAAAATGCGGAGAGAAAAAAAACCTCTCTGCACAGTGCGGAGAGAGTTGAACCATGTGTGGAGAGTTGACAAACTCTTCGCACAATGCAGAGTAAAAAAAACTCTCCGCACAATGCAAAGAGATGACAAATCAGCTCTCCGCACAGTACAGAGAGAAAAAAAACTCTCCGCATTTGTCATCTCTCCGCATAGTGCAGAGAGAAAAAAAAACTCTCCACACAGTGCGGAGAGTTGTTTTCAAATTCCTTAATTATAAGTCAAATTTCAAGATTGTAAAATTTTCGTATAGACAACGAAACAGAATCGAAAAATATGGCTCAAAATCAATTATGTTTTCTTTAAATTCCAATCACAGCTCAATTTTCGAGTATGCAAATCATATTTACGATATTGAAAATGAGCTTTCTCGTGATTCATACAATGAAACAATATGTGAGTTGTGCAAAGAATGAGTTATTGATAGTACCATGGCATTGTTTTCACAAATGGAAGCTCTAGGATACCACCCAAATTCAATATTTTACACTTGCTTAATAACAGCTCTTAGATATTAGAAGCGGATAAATTTTCAATGAAATTATACTTTCGGGTTGTAGCCCAGGAATTAAAGTGTTCGATGCATTATTTAAAAGTTGTTTGAGAAAATGCCTCTTGGAACTTGCAAATAAAATCCCGAGAGTTTTTGTTTTTTCACATTGTGCGGAGAGATAATTTGCCATCTCTCCGCACTTTGCGGAGTCTTTTTTTTTTGCTCATGTATGGAGATTTTTTTGTCTCATGGAGTTTATTTATATTAAAACTATTATTTTTTTTTATATTGTTGGCATGATGCGTGTGTGGAATAATATTTGTCAATCACCATAAACAAAATTCTTTACAAAATGCAAAAAATAAAAATGCATAATAAATCTTCTTATTACACTAATAAAATTATAAATTTTTTTTTTACAAATAACATAAAAAAATCATTTTTATTTAAAAAACACATTTAAAAATTAGCAATTTCATAATCATTTTTTTTAATTCTCAGAAATACAATTATAAAAAAAGAAACAATATTGAATTCCAACATTTAATACTTAAGAAATTCAATATTAAATAAATTTTATACATTTATAACAAATTATAAATCCATATATGCAGCTTACTGTATTTGCAAGCAACTTACTATATATACAGCTTACCGTATATGCTGCCTACCGTATTG